CTCTCTCTCTCTCTCTCTCTCTCTCTCTCTCTCTCTCTCTCTCTCTCTCTCTCTCTCTCTCTCTCTCTCTCTCTCTCTCATAAACTCAGTTAGACTTTGGTCATGACGGACGTCGGTCCAGCATACCATGTATCAACAAAACTTGTCCGCCTTGTGCATACCTGCCCCTGGATTGATTTATTTTTTTCCGTTTATCTTTCCCTTTCTATCTGTCTCTATTTATGTGTCAATTTATCTATCTATTTATATATGCTGCTATCTGTTTACTTGACTCTATTCATGTATCTATCTGTCTGCATACTATCGATGTACGTCTATCTCTCTATCTATAAAAATTACGCGAATAGATGGATGAGGATGAATTGATGGATGGGAATGGGTGGGTGGGTGGACGGATTGATCGATGGATGGCCATGGGTGGGTGAGTGGATGGACAGATGGATGGATGGATGAATAGGTGGGTGGATGGATGGATGGTGATGGGTGGGCGACTGAATGGACGGACGGATGGACGGATGGATGGATGGATGGATGGATGGATAGAGGGAGGGAGGGAGGGAGGGAGGGAGGGAGGGAAGGACGGAGGATGGAGGAAGAGAGGCATGTACACATGCATGGATGGACAGTCAGCATATGGGTGAATGGACAGATTGACAGATGGCGGGATGGATAGATCTATGGATGGATCAATGGATGGAGGATGGACACATGGACAAAYGGACAGATCAACAGATGGAGGAAGGGAGGCATAACAGTGCAGAATGCCTTTGCACATCCAGAGCCAGCAGTGCCTCCAGCAACCGCTGCAGCAGCAGTGCTTAAATCTGGAGTGTTTGGGTAGAGGTGCAAAAACATGATTCGGCTGGTTTTCTGCATCTCTGTGCGAAGCACACCCATGTTCAGGCAAATTAATCCAATCCACTTTGCTAGGGGCACCTTGCTCCAGGGTCTTGGTTCCATTAGCAAGGAGGATTGGGTTTAATTCCTGAACATGCAGAATAGCAGATCGATTGCAATTCTCTACATCTCTCAAGAAACCCCTTCAGATTCAGGAGTTCGATCCAATCCTCTTTGCTAGGGGGACATTGTCCAGGAGTGGCTAATTTCAACCAATGAAATGCGTTTCTCTTTTTTTTAAATACTGAATAAATTGAAACACTAATGTCTGGCACCACTTGCAGCCGGCTGAGTCCAGGGCACAAGCAGCTGATGACTGGAATAAGGAGCTTGACTTGCCACAGCTAATGAAAGATCATTCTTCAAAATTTGTTGTCTTAACATGCAATGTCAGCAACTTGGACTTGCTGGCCACTCAATGGACCATGCAAGCAGCTAAGATGACCGTAATCAGGAGGGACTGATAACAACCAGCAAGTCTTTCTTTTTTCTTCCCCTAATTTGGACCATTTCGCGACTCATGAGTGTCATTCTTGCGAAGGGGCCATGCTAATCCTCTCTGAATCGTTCCGAGTTTCTTTACAAATAATAAAAAGAGGAAATACAGATGTTTGTTGCTTGGCACCCACCGAGTTTAGGGTGATCACGTCCTGGAGGACTTCAAATCCGTTTTTTTTCCTGAAAATTCAAGTTTCCATTACCTTCTGGACGGCTACTTTGACGACAA